AAGGAAGTGCTGTTTCTCATGGATTGAGGGAGGAGTACATGGAAATATCTTCCTATAGTGAAGATGATGAAGAAACGGTCCCTCTCATACAGAAACACTTCCCCCAGTGCAAAACATGCTGTAGTAATGTAATAACCGACTTAGAACATGAGAGAGAGTTTCACAACATCCTGAAATAGACTTTAAATTTTATCTCCTGTTACTTTGAAGATGAACTTGGGAGGACATGAACTTTCTTAGTCTTCCTGATCCTCTCGTATCTACTTAGACCACACTGATGAAGTTTCTAGTTTGTGTTGGAATATGATCCTTGTTGGGATTTTATACATCCACTGTTTTACCAATGTGTTTAGGGTCTTTAAAATGGAGTCTAACATCATTCTACAAGTTTACAGAAAGACAAAAGATACAACTATTAAGGAAAGGTGGGATGCTTTAAAATGTAATGCAAATTAAGATATTAATACAAAGATTGTTCTAATTATTGCTTGTTACAGACAAGGAAGCAAAAACAGAATTCAGTCAGAGGAAAAAGATGAATAATAAAGTATTTTATAATTATGCCTTGAGTTGTGCTGGGAAAATATATAACACTAGGAGCAATCATATAGTTCTCACTTGACTGGTTGGCTGAGGGTCTGGGTAGTGGACTTTCTAGTTTATCCAGGACCTGCCCAGGTGTATTAGGCATATGCAAGGAAGGGTGTCTCCAGATGCTCTTTAGATGATGATGGACCTATTAGCCAACTGGGGCATGCCAGAGGAGAACCTGTCCTGCCTCCTCTTCATGCGCCATAGCTTCCCTCATACCCCTGCTGTCTTCATACTTTATCTTTGAAATGTGCATCACTAACCCAGACTGAGAATTAGAATTTGGAAGCTAGCTGTCTTCACACCAATTCAATCTCAGCACCACGGCAACCTGTTCTCCCCACGTGTGTGCTGCGTGTAGATGTCTTCCTGTCTTGATCATCTGTGCTTCCCTGGGTGTGCTCGCCTCCGGCACCTGCCTGACATCTTCACAAAAGCAGGAACCCAGTGTTTAGTCAATATGTCCTTGCCAAGCTGGCTCCTTTTAGGGGAATGCATTTTGAAACCCCCTGTTCCTCTTTCACTCTTTTCCCTAATATGACCTCATAAATCACAGAGCACTGTAGTTCTTTCACTGTCTACCCTCTATCTACTCTCTGTTCTTTGGCACTTGTGCACACACATACACACACACACACAGAGACATGCATGCACACACGCACACACACATGCATGCATACACACACATGCATGCATACACACACACACACACACACACACAGACACACACGCGCACACACACATGCATGCATACACACATACACACAGGAATAGAAAAGAAAGAAAGAAATAAAACCCCTGAAGATGCTCACTATTATTCTTTAGAAAATAGTGTCAAATGTACAGAACGTTTCCAGTTCTGATTACTGGAGTGTGTTTTCTAATAAGTAGACATTTATGTGATAAGAAACACGATAGAACATTTGAAATCAGGTGCTACCCCTGTTGAAAACACATCATTCTTGATGTTCAAAAATGACAAACAGGGTCATCTATACCGCAATCCTCCTTGGTCCTACCTTGGAATCCGAATCCGGTCCATCTACTCCTCTCTTGTGTCTCTCTTTCTCCTTTGAGCTGTCACAGCCATGCTGCCCACCTTTTAGTCACTAGAACTAGACCAACCTGGCTCTCTCTCTCTCTCTCTCTCTCTCTCTCTCTCTCTCTCTCTCTCTCTCTCTCAATCATCCTACACCATCCTTTGCTTCTCCCTGGCAACCTGCTTGGGATCTTTGCAAGGCTCTCATTTCCATTCCCTTCCTCACACACCCTTGCTGTTTTCATGCTCTATCTCTGAAATGTGAATCTCCAGCCCAGCCCTGAGAATTGGAACCTGGAGGCTAGCTGCTTTCACACTCTCACTCACAGCATCACAGCAGCCCGATCTTTGTCCAAATCTCACCTCCTCCCAAAGGATCCGGGAGGTGATAACCTTTGCCTCCTCTCCACGGGCCTTTGCCCCTGTCACTCTTCTCTCTCCTACCTTGCTTCTACTCCACCCTTACCTCATAGCATTCGCCTCTATGTGGGATTCATGATTAGAGTCTGTCCCTACTCCCAGCTGGCCACTCACTATGGTAAAAGCTTCCCAAGGCAGGTCTCTGCCAGCTTTATTCCTCCAATAACCTGGCACCGGAACAGCAGCTGGAGCAGTGTGGGTGCCGCGAAGTCAATGGGTGACCCCTGCGCATTGGCCACATGCTGCTGCTCCGTCATGCATCCTTGGGTCCCTGAAACAGAGGACCGTGTGACTTACTCAAGTCTACAAGCACTTATCCTCTGGGTAAATGCACATCTCTGGGGAACAGGAATAGAGAAATCACACTTTAGGCTGGGTGGAAAATGGAAGTCGGAGTATAGGGGAGAAAGTAAAAACAGAACAAGGAAAAGCGCAGAGTGGACGAAACCGTGTTTCAGGGCGGGAATGCGGACCTTGATGGTCAATAATTAGACTTGACTTTGCTGCAAACTCACTCTGTAGCTTCGCGCTTCAAATGCCACTCCTAAGGTGACTAAGATGGGGATGTTCCTGCCCTTCCCAGTGGCCACTCTTTTTAAAATGAATGACCTATGACTGAGATCTGGAAGGTCTCAGGTTTGAAGACCTTGGTTCCATGAGTCTTCCTATGGGAAGGTGGTAGGACCTTTGCGGGGCCACTCACTGTATTGAGAGGGTCATCAAGCCACCCTGTCTAGTCCCTGAAGGGGGCATTGAGCCTCAGTCCCTTCCTTCTGCCTTTTTCTCACTGGCCATGAGGTGAGCAGCTTTGGTTCATATGTCAGGCCTCTCCGAACACTGGAAGCAAAAGAGCTAGAACCATGAAGTGTGACCTCAGAGCCTCAAGCCAAAATAAGCCTTGACTTTTAAGAAGCTGATTGTCTCAGGTGTTAGCTACAATGACAGAAAGCAACACGGGGGCACCATGGGGAGGGGATTTTCAGTCCCCATTGTGACTGTTGTGGAATTGCACTAGGCCCTTCTCACTGACAATGTCAGGGTAGGTGAGACTTACCTTTGAGAATCAGCGTTGATAAGAATTCAGACACGTGGCATTGTCTGAGTGATAAAGTTGGGCTTATAAACCTCAGCTAGCAAGACCACAGATTGTCACTGCTTTCAAGTGTCGCCATGTCTAAATAAAAAAATACCTATCCGCTGGAGGAGGGTAGGGTGCTGTCTATACTTGTGAAAAGAGAAAGGCCACAAGGAAATGACAGTTTTATCTCCCAGTGAAGGGCAGGGCCTTCACCTGGAAAGTTGTCCCTCCCTGGTGGAAAAAAAAAAGGACTCTATCTTCAGATGAACACTGGGGCTATAGCTGCTAGGCTGTATGTTTAACAGAGGAAAGACAATGGTTAAGTTTCAAGTCCTGTCAGGTACTTCACCTGTAAATGGAAGTCATCATTACAGAAATGGCCCTCGAATATGCCCAGAGGATTGGGTTAATATGTGCAAAGTGCTTAGGACAGGGACTGTAATTACAACCTCACTAGCAAAACCACACGCCTGCCTCAGGCCTCCTGCTATTCAGCATTTGTCACCTTCCATTCTGATGCAACTGTAAGCCAGGAATGTATTTTCTTCTCATATAGGTATGCCCACGCGGAAGAGACTGTGCTTAGCAGAGACTCACAGAAGGGTCCATCCTCGAGCCTGCCATTTCTAATGAGTAATAATAGGTCAATTACTTTGTGGGTGTGTCTGGCATTCCTCCACTGCTTGGCTGGAGGATTTCTGGTCCAGGGACAGGTTGGTTTTGATTTCTCCATCTTCACATTGGCATTCTGGTGCCTGGCCCAACCTTAGTTTTTTTAGGTTGTTTTGTTTTTATTTTGTTTTGCATTTGGAAAGCAAACACTCAGTGATCATGACCTCAGTCTCTAAAGCAGAAGACTAGATCTCTCTCTCTCTCTCTCTCTCTCTCTCTCTCTCTCTCTCTCTCTCTCTGTGTGTGTGTGTGTGTGTGTGTGTGTGTTTGTGTGTGTGTGTGTGTACGCACTCTCTGTCTATCTGTCTCTCTCTCCTCCCTCTCTCTTTCTCGAGGTAGCTCCCTGTCTGGCCCACTCCAACAGGAAGGACTGCTGTCCCTGTAGTGGGCAGGTTTGCATGAAAACATAGTGTTTGGGAATATGGCAAGTTAAAACTTATAGGAGCAAGAGAGTTGGAAACATCAGTTTGAGGGTTGTCTACAAGCTAAAGAGACATTACTTTCTCAACAAAGTCTCCTAAGTACTTTCCTGAGTTCTGTGACCCTGCCTGGGACTCCATAGGGATTCCTGTGAATTTTTATCCTGTGACTTGTTAAGTATCTCTCTGGAAAGGACTGTAGATGCTTGCCCCTGATATCCACCAGTGTGGTGATGACATTCATGCTCCCAAAGATGGCCTTCCTGCTGGCATCTCATTGGGTTGACTTCACCTCCCAGAGTGAGCAGATTTACGAATTTTTTGAAAAACTGTAATAGGATATCACACTTTATTTTATTATTAGTTGATTAATATTTTCTCCAGTCCAGTTACAGACTTAGAATTTTATTTTATTTTCCAGACAAAGGAGAGAGCAGCTGGAAATCAAGTAGATAAAAAAAAAAGTTAACACACCTTAAAATGCACTGTGACACCCATTTGGGGACGGGGAACAGGAGGGACTTAGAAAGTTCCAGGGCAAGAACCATGGGATGTCCAGCTATGACTTGAGCTACAATTATGGTGGCATTTCCTGGTTGGCCTAGGAAGAGAACCAAAAATTACAATGCCCTCACCTTGGGAATGTGCAGCTTAAAAGCCAAGGAAGCAATTTTCAGGGAACTCGGAGAAGTGACCCATCAGTCTTAGAAGAGGACACTTCCTGTATGGAATCTGAGAAAGAAAGAGGAAACCTCCAGAAGCATTTGGGCTGTCACAAGGGTTGGGGAAGCTTGCAGCAAAGCACGGATAGGAGATTGAGTTAGATATTTGTTCTGGAGATGGCGACCCCTGTCGAAACTCAGGGGTGGTACTGAAACCCTGTCCTCAGGCTCCCTCAAGAAGCCTTGCTTTGACTAATAGGATAGGGTTACCTTAATGAGACTTCATCCTGTGTTCCTGTGACCGTTTTTCCCCTGCCTTCTGGCCCAACCTAGAACCTCTCTCTGCAGTGTCCTCCCCCCAATGGTCCTAGGGGAAAGGAGAAACAGGCAAGAATCTCTGGCTCGAGGAAGACTTGGCTCTGCAAGCAACTGAGTGAGGACGGAGGGAAGTTGACTCCAGAGAATCGAGTTGGGCCACAGAGGCAGACCGCGCACCTGGTAAAGGTGAGGGTGCCCCCCACACCCTGAGAATGGACGGTTGAGAAGAAAGGGGTCGGCCGGCGGCAGGCTGGGTGTAGCCGCACAGGACCGGGGAGGGTTGGGGGAGCTGCGGCAAGGTACAACGGAGAACTGAGCCACCCGGCTCTGAGCCAGCGCGACGTGGGAGAGTGACGCTGCGGTGGTGACCGAACAGGTGAGCGGCTGGGGCCCCGGGTCCCCGCCCTTGCCTCCTCCTACCGGTTCTCCGCCGCACTTGGCAGCTCCACGGCTCCTCTCTGGTTTGGGGTTTTGCAACTGGCAGCTGGCTTTTTTTTTCCCCCCTCCTCCCCGGTCGAGGGCTCTCCTTCTTTTAGGTTGCTCCACCCCGCCCAGGATCAGGCGAGGGGGGGAACCAGTCCAGCAGCTGCCAACTGGCGCCCAGCGCGGCCGCGAACACGGGAAGTGGAGCCCTGAGTGCGCTCTGCGGGGCGATTGCTTCTCCCGCGTCCCGGCGCCCCGCGTCCTCCCACCCGCACCCCATTCTCCACTTTTCCCCCCGTTTGCAATCACATGGCATTTTAAGAATGCTGGAAAGATGGCGGTAGCGGCGGCGGCTGTGGCTGCGCCGGCTGGCGGGGGAGGCGGCCGGGCGCAACGGAGCGGACTGCTGGAAGTTTTGGTGCGGGATCGTTGGCATAAAGTTCTGGTGAACTTGAGCGAGGACGCCCTGGTGTTGAGCTGCGAGGAGGGCGCTGCGGCGTACAACGGCATAGGGACTGCCACCAATGGCTCGTTCTGCAGGGGCTCAGGGACTGGGCACCCGGGGACTGGTGTCACTCAAGCCCCGGACTCTCCCGCCGCCGGCGTCCGCACAGCCTTCACCGACCTCCCGGAGCAGGTGCCTGAGTCCATCTCGAACCAGAAGAGGGGCGTGAAGGTGCTGAAGCAGGAGCTAGGCGGGCTGGGCATTAGCATCAAAGGGGGCAAGGAGAACAAGATGCCCATCCTCATCAGCAAGATCTTCAAGGGGCTGGCAGCGGATCAGACCCAAGCCCTGTACGTGGGCGATGCCATCCTGTCCGTGAACGGAGCGGACCTGCGGGATGCCACCCATGACGAGGCAGTGCAGGCGCTGAAGCGAGCAGGCAAGGAAGTACTGTTGGAAGGTAAGAGGTTAACGCTGTGTGCGCCTTACCCCGCACGGTGCGCCCACTCTTCGGCCCACCCGCACACTCACACGCTGTGCCACTGGTCCTGCGGGACCCCGCGGTGCCTATGTTGTGCAAAGGCAGTGGTGGGCATGGACTTTTGACAACTTTTACCACCTGGGGGCAACTCAACTCCACCCTGGCTCTGCTGCAGAGTGCTTTGCTAAAAAGACTAGACCGCCTGGGTTTTCTTGGCTTGAATGGGGTGCTTTAGTATACAGTGTTGGAAGCGTCATAGTTATCCGTGCACGTGGTTTCATTTTTCTTTTTTCTTTTCTTTTTTTTTTTAAGTCTGCGAACAATCCAAGTGCAGTGTAGACTCTAGGAAGGGGAACAGGGAATGGAGAGTAGACCCGATTTGCATCTGCCCACATTGCAAAGCAAGGCCGCTGACTCAAGGCAGCTCTGCTACTTTTCTGCTTTGACAAAATTTTCACAGCCTGGGCAGTCCAGTCGCGAAGATTTGAAAGGTAAAAAGAAAGCAGAGAGAGAGGTGGCAGTGTTTGAACGCTAACCTCAACCACCCTTCTCCACTTCCCTCGCCTCTGGCTGGAGAGTCCCGAGAGAGGCTGTTTAGGTTTGGGTAGTGCCAAAGGCTGGGAAAGATGTTGCAGATTTAGGTACAAGTTCACTTCCCCAGCAGGGTGTTCAGCCGGTCAGTCCGGATTCCAGGTTCCTCTGGGTGGAGAGCTGGTGAAGTGTTCTTTTTGCTGCTGTGTCTCCCAGAATAGGGGGAAATTCACTGTGCATTTGTAAACAGTATTCCCTGCCCGTGAATGAGAAGAACCACAGAAACGATCAGTGTATAGGGAGATAGGGAGTACTAGTTTCTCTGTAGTTTCCCTTTCCCCACAGCTAAGTCTCTCTCTCTCTCTCTCTCTCTCTCTCTCCCTCCCTCCCTCCCTCCCTCCCTCCCTCCCTCCCTCCCTCCCTCCCTCCCTCCCTCCCTCCCTCTCTCTCTCTCTCTCTCTCTCTCTCTCTCTCTCTCTCTCTCTCTCTCTCTCTCTCTCTCTCTCTCTCTCCCTCTCTGTGCACTTCCACCTGCTCTAACATTGTGGGACAATTGCACTGAGTTTTCTCGGCTTCCTCTTAACTGGAGATTCAGTGGTTTGGAGGTCTTTTATTTAGATAGGGGGCTCTCCAGAGCTTGAGTGTCCAATAGCATGCAGGCAGGGTTAGTAAGTAAACGAACTCAGCTATTGAGACAGTATTCCAACCTAGACTCTATAATATGGTGACTGACTTAAGTGCTTAAACTAAGATGTTATCGGTTCCCTGCTCACCCAACTGTGGCGCTGTTGTGTGACATTGGGGAACCAACTTTCCTTGCATATGACAGCTGATGCAACTCCATGGTGACCTGATGGTCTGCCCCCCAGCCTGGAGCACAAAGAGGCTTTTTGTTTTTTGTTTGTTTGTTTGCCTAGAGGATTTGTGATATCTTCATATTTAATGGTCACCTCCGATTGCAGAAAGTGGAAGGGTGTTTGGTTTGGCTTGATGATTAACGCAAGTTAACAGGAAAAACAATTCTTGATCAAGTGTGTGTTGGTTTAGGTGACAAGAGGCAGGTAGGATCTGGTGAGAGTTTAGTTTGGACTGTAAAAGCTGCTGGGCACCTGTTTAGTTTGTGATCCTTACTGAAAATACGGAGGGAAGAGGTGACAATGACAGGTCCTATTTTACTTCAGACACTGACCCTTATCTCACCCCTTATTCCTGTCTTTGATTTCAATTTTATGCATGATAACTTGGCAAGGAGGTTAAAAATGACTCTTATGCCCAAAGAGGAAGAAAAAATGACTCCCTGGAGTTGAAAATAAAGTTAAAGAAAGTTGTGTGTGTATGTGTGTGTGTGTGTGTGTGTAAGGGTTATGCACTTCTTAACAAGAAATAAAAAATGAGTTCTGTCAAAAGCTATCTAGTGAAAAAATAAAAATAAAGTAAAATAAAATAAAAGCTCTCTAGAGGCATTCTAAAGAACATTGCATCATGTGCGGCATTCAGGGTACCTAGGGGAGATGGGAGTCTCCTAGGCATCCCTAGTTCAACTCATCAGTAATTTACAGCTAATAATCTCTTATTACCTGCCCATGAAGGAAGGTATGACTTAAAACAATGTCCTCTCTTTACTACATCTTCCTCCTTCCCACCCTCACCTAGCGAGAGTTTGAGCCTAGTGACTTGCACATTCTAGGCTGGCATTCTACCACCAAGCTTCACCCTCAGCCCCCAAACACAGCGCCTCTTGTTTGAAGCCAAGTGTTTGTGGTCCTCCACGGTCCTCACTGAGGTGGTAGTGGTCACATACCATCAACCCAAACGTAACAACCCTCCCCTTTGTCATTTGGTGTAGAGCAAGGATTCCCAGGGAAGAGGCTTCTTTAAACCACCTCCAAGGCCTTTAGGGTTCTCGTAGCCTAGCAGAGTTTCGGTGTCTTCTTTTCAGTGTCCTCTTGTGCAAAGTGAAAGTAAGGAAAGTGTCGCCTCTTTACGTCATGGGGTGACCCTGGGCAACGATGAGATTGCAAGGCATGCTAGTACTCTCACTAACTGCACAGTTTGAATGAAATGCCCCTTCAAAATGGGGGATCCATTCTTCTGTCTTATTGGAGCTGCTCTGTTTTTAATTTGATGCTTTTTAAAGGAAAGGAATTATTCTGGCTCGTGCCTTGTGATCTACCTCGATCAATCTATTTACCTATCTGTCTCTCTGTCTCTCCACCTCTCTACCGACCTACCTATCTATATCAAAACTCTGATGCTGAGAGACCATTCCGCCATAGGCCACAAGAGTCAAATGTCACCTGAGGGGAGAGATTTATGAAAGTTAACATTTCTTGAGCACTCCATTTGGGTCAGGCTCTTTCATCTGCTTGGTGACTCCATGAGGTCAATACTATTGTCATTCACTTTCCTAAAGAAACTAACGCATCATGTTATCTACCTAAAGCACAATAACATAGCTAGGAGGTATCCAAGTCTATCTGATTTCCAAGCTTAAATAACCTCTAGGTAAGACTGATGGCCTGAGCTTCACCAGCGAACCATGTACTTGAACCAGTTGAAGTCACTGGGCTCCTGGGATGTTTCCCCACTTAGACTACCCTAAGCAGGAAACAGCAATTGTGCAGGACAGGATTTTATGAATCAAATACACCACTCATCTGACTATCAAAAGAAAGCTGCCATAAGACATTGGAACTCTGCAAGACAAAGTTGAACACATGGCCAAACAGGAGTACAAGCTCCAGTTCTAATTTAAATTGTAAATCAGCCATAGCAAGTGAGACGATGTGTTAACCAAGTACTCATTAGAATTAAGATCAGAAAATTTTGCAGTAATGTTTCTCATTTTAAAGAGAGGAAACAGATACCCCCACGTGGAGCTCTATAATCTCACAGGACATCATTCATGTAGACTGCAATGTGACCAAAACCCTGTGTTGTTGAGCAAGACGTGCCTGCATAGACACCCTGGCCAGTTTTGAATGCAAGGAATACCTTTTATTCTTATTGTTGTTTAATTGGGTTTGGTTCTATTGTGTGTGTGTGTATGTATGTATGTATATATGTATGTATGTGTGGCATATATGTGTGACATGTATGTGTACCAGTGAGAGTTCAACATCAGTTCCATTCCTCGGTGACTCTTCACCGTAGTTTTCAAGACAGGGTCTCATCTATGAACCTTGAACTCACTGATTTTCCATGACTGACTGGCCAGTGAGTTTCAGGAACCCTCTTATCTGCCTCTCAGCATGGGGATTATGGATGTGTTCTGCCATCCCCAGCTTTTTACCTGGATACTGGGAAACTGAAATCAGGACATCATGTTTACAGGCAAGCAGTTTACCGACTGGACTATCTTCCCAGCCTTTGTCTTTAACATATTAGTAGGATGGTAATGAAGTGTGTCAGCATTCTTGTAGCTGAAGCAACAATCAAATTAATTCATCTGTAATCTTCTCCAGGTAGAGAAGATGAGTTTGTGGAAGCTTTGTGTTAAAGTAAGGAGGCAGGGTGGACAGAAATACCACTTGTTGAAAAGGTCCCCGTGGAACTGGACCAGGAGAACAAGAAACTCAAAGGAGAAAAACAAGGACAGTTCTTAGCAAGAACTGTGTCCAGAAGCCCCTCTATCAGCTGAGCATCCAGGAGGGACTGGATCTAACACTCATTTGGGAAATCACCCTGTAATCCCTTTCTCTGGTGATGGGAGTAAGGATGGTGGGACAAGAAGATTCGGCTTACAAACAGGTGGTGGCTTTTCTGGGAGGACTGGGAAAGCATCCAAACTTGAAGAGTTTTGCTTTGTTAAGTGTGGGGTTTGAATGAGAATGGCCCCCGTAGGCTCATAGATTTGAATGTTTGGTCCCTAGTTGATGAAACTGTTTGGGGGGAAGGATTGGGAGGTGGGGTCTTGTTACAGGAGGTGTGTCACTGGGGGCAGGATTTGAGCTGTCGAAAATCCACATCATTCGCAGATAATTCTCTCTCTGCCTCATGCTTGTGGATAAGACATAAACCCTCAGTTACCACTTCAGTTCCATGCCTGCCTGCCTGCCTGCCATGCTTCCTATCATGATATTCATGGGCTAATCCTCTGAAACAGCAAACAAGCTCCTGAATAAAACACCTTCTTGCATAAGTGGTTTTAGTCACTACATCTCTTCACAGCAATTATCTTGGTTCTTACCTTTGAATACTCTATGAGTATACTATATTTCTTTGGATGCCATTGTTTTTTGTTTGTTTGTTTACTTGCTTGCTTTGTTTTGTTTTCATTGGACACATCTTGTCAAATTCACAACTGAAGGCGGAGAGGCATGTATGGTATCATTCATGATCTAGAAAAGTCTTTCATTGTGAAAGACTACCCGGGACATCTGTGATCCTTAGTTTCCGTAACTGAATACCAGGCATGTGGCACTTGACCATTAAAATGCCTCTGTGCA